GACTTTACTAAACCAACCACTAAAGCCAGTCTGGGGAATTTCAATTAGCAGTTAAGTTTTCCCAAAGCTTGCTCCCATTGGCACAGAATTAATAAAACGTGTTTACATATTGCCTTCAGCAAACCAGAAGTGTACTGCCAGTACAATGTGAACTATAAATATATATTCATAATACTCTCCCAAATGAGAAAATCTCATTTATTCTTCATCTACTTCTCAAGTTTAACTTTAGAAAAGATATCATTAAAAACCACCCAAAATCTCATGGCAATGTACTTTTTGATTCATCCTTTATCAAAGTTATACCTGAGGACAAAAATGTAGTTTTTTTGGAGGCATTCTCCCAAGACCTTATGTCACCCACTCCCAAAAATATATAATTAAAATTAATTCGAAAGTGCCTGCATCCACAATTTTGCGCCAATTAAAGTGAAGCTGCCAGTGTACTACTCTTAAATTCATCATGTCAGAGAGATTGCAAAGCAGATATAAGAAAATGGAAATGAGGTAGTTAATTTATTCTCTATTTGCCTCTAGAGAAATTAAACTCGTTCCCTCTGTAGAATAACATAATACAAAATGGAAATTCTGTTGTAATAGGAAAAGAAAAGAAAGGAGTAGAAGCTAGAGAACTTGGGGAAGTGGAAGAGCCTACTGTACAGAGATAACTAAGACTTATTAGATTCGCTCTTCTAACGAAGATGTGGACAACTGTTAGGACAGATGTGTAACAATTACACCTTTAGTCAACCGAAGTTAATATTCCTTGTACTTTAAAAGCATCACCTTTGAGGATACCAAATCATTCTTTGAAAAGTAACTTCACAGAGTAACTTCTTCAGTTTCTCTCTAAATTTTTCTGAAAATTATAGTAGGTAAAAATGTATTCTAGAATAAGAAAAAAGGAAACATATGGCTTTCAGAATAGAAAATGAACTAGTAGTATCAGAAATCTATTTAAGATTTATTTTGGCAAATGTTTAAAATGTTAGGTCATAACCTATTACTAAAGAGACCGGCTCCAAAAATTATCTGTATAGAATTCAATCCCTTTCTCAAGGTAGAAGGGTAAAGAGAAGGAAGGTATGAGATACATTCTATTTTGGTAGATAGTTTTATGTCAAAAGTCAATGTTTCTTTAGCAATTCTGATGTCACTATTGATGATGTAGAAATTCCTCCACTCATTAGCCACCGATGTCTAAAAGAAACTATCACAGTCAAGGTCTATTGCTTGAAATGCATACATGTTTGTTTGTTTGTAATCAGAACAATTTGCCTTCTTAACTTTTGTGGATACGAATATATGTAGTCTTTGTTGAGACAAAAATCTACTTCTAGAAATCTAGAACTAAATTCTAAATTGCCAATGGTTAGTAATGAAAGATCCCCAACTCCCGCCAAAATAAAGCAATCCAGCTCCCTTTATTTAAGTTTAAATAAGATTTTAGGTATAAAAAACTTGGAAAAAGTACACACACTATCGTTATACCTTATCTACAGGAAAAAGTACACACACTATTGTTATACCTTATCTACAGGATGCTTATCCTACATTTTAAAATCTAAACCATAATAGTTTAGATTTTAAAATCAGCAATCACTGAACACTAAATAGAAGAGGAAATGAACTGTTACTTAAAAAACAAAAAACAAAAAAAAACCAGCCAAGACTCAGCTACTGGGGAAAGGCAAAGGTTGGGTGCCACTGGGGGAGGAGTAGAAAACCTATTGTCACCCTCCTGAAACCTAAACTGACACAGTCAAAACCTTCAACCACTGAGGAAAAGCAGGACACCTACTCTTGCCGAGACTAACATACTAATGCAAAGCACAGGTCGGGGAGGGACAGGAAACTATCACTATCTTATACCCAAGACACCCCCATCACCATGAATACAACACAGAGTTCAGCTGTGGGGATGGGAGAGGAATAGCAAACCCACTTGCACTCTGAAGTAGAAGACAAAAGTTGTTTGCCTCTGGGAAAGAGATAGGTACACTGAGAGTACCACCCAAGGCTCCAGCACAGAGGACCTTCTAAGATTAAAGCTTGAATAGGAGAACTAAGAAATCCCCTTGCTCCCACCGTAAGACTTATTCCAAGTAAAAAGCAAAATCAGGGAGGGGCATAAAGAGAAAACTCCTGTGTGGCTTGGGCTTGCAGGGCCTGCTGAAAGCTGAGGGCAGAGGAAGAAAACTGGGAAAATCCTTCCAGCACTCTAGGCCTCGTACCAGTCACAATGTGGCAAGAGACCACAACTGGAAGAATCTGAAGCCTCTGATATACTGACGGTAACTAGAGCAACCACAAAACCTAAACTGAGATCAAACTGCAGACTTAATACTCAACTCCCAACACCAATGGCCTAACAGAATAAGGGACAAATATTTCTGGATATAAATATTACTTACCTCAATCTCTACCGTTCTGTTGCACAGAATATCCAATATTCAAGCAATATTGGATATTTACAATAAACCCACAAGAAAGCAGGAAAAACAACTCTTTCATCAAGACATAAAATAGTCAACGGAACCAGATCAAGAGATGTTGGAAGTATCAAAGAGGTACTTTAAAATGACATGATTAATGAGTTAAAGGATCTAGTGAAAAAGGTGGATAACATGTATAAAGACATAGGAAATTTCAGTAAAGTGATGGAAATTACAGAAAGGAGTGAAATGGAAGTGCTAGATATGAAAATTGCAGTATCAAAAATAATTCTTTTGATGGATTTATCAGCAGAAAGGAAACAGAAGAAAAATTGAACTTTAGGAAAGGACAAGAGGAATAATCCAAATCTGAAACACAAATTTAAGAAAAGATCAAAAAACACAAAATAGAGCACTGAAGAACTGTAAAATAGTAAAAGGTCTAACATATGTGAAATCAGAATCTCAGAATAAAAACAGAAAATGGAGCAGAATAAATCTGTGAAGAGATAATAGTTATATCTACAAAATAAAAACAATGAATTATAGATCCAAGAAGTTCAGAGAAACTATATCTTTACAGACAATGCCAGATCCTTAGAGAAAACATACAGTAAATTCTGCTTTTCTAAATCCAATCTAGGAATCTCAGCCTATTATTTGGAGTATTTAGACCTGTACTATCGAATATGGTAGCCACTAGTCATACGTGTTTATTTAAATTAAATTGAATAAAATTTAAAATTCAGTTCCTCAATTACACTAGGCACACTCAAGTGCTCAGCAGAAACATGTAACTGTGGCTACTACCTTGGATAGTACAGACCAAGAATATTTCTATTACTTCAGAAAGTTTTATTGGATAGTGTTGGTTTAGAACATTTACATTTAATGTAATTACTAATATAGTTAAGATTAAGTCTACCATCATGCTATTTGTTTCCTAATTGCCTCATTTCTTTATTTTTCCCCTCTTTCTTTTCCTGTCCTTCTTTTTATTAATGGAGTATTTCTTATGATCTCATTATTTTCTGATATTGACTTACTAACTATCCCACTTTGTTTTACATTTTTAGTAGCTGTTCTAGGGTTTTTATTAAACATCTTTAACTTATCACAGTCTGTCTCCACATACTATTATACCACTTCACATGCCGTGTAAGAACATTACAACAGCACAGTTTTTTCTCTCTTCCTATCCTTTGTACTAATTGTCATACATTTTACTTGTGCACTGTTATTATGTATGGCCATTTCTATGATCTTTCAAACGTAATTTTGATGACAAAATTATTAGAAAATTCATAACCCTGTAGGAGTACTATTTTAAATACTTTGTCTTCACTGACATAAAAGTAAATATTTTCAGAAAATTTATTTTAGAGATATAGAATTCTGGCTCTTGTTTACCCAGTAAGAGATAAGAAATCAATGTCTAAATCGCTTATAACTTTTTATGTCGTAAAACCCTAGATTGTCTCCTGAAGCTTCAGTTTTAGCATTTAGGCCAATAATTTGATAAATTTATCTCAAACTCAAAAGGAGTTTTAGGCTTTGCTTCATGCCGTGGCTTCGTGCTTGGAGGATGTAGGACTTTATGAACATTCAGAACTAAAGAAAACCTTAAAGATCTGCCAAAGATCAGATAAGTACATTATCTGTCATTTTAGTAATAATTTTACCTTGGAGCCTCCATATTCATAATCAAAATACTAGGTGGTATGTTCAAAACTGGCTTTGCTTTTGAACATGCAAATAGATTTTATCTGTTTCATATATCTTGTTTTTGCTATTGGGGTCTTTTTTAAAATTATTTTTTAATTACTTGATGTCATTATATCCATTATTTTCTTTTCACATTATATCTTTACACTATTTTACTTTTTTAGGAAACAACCAATTCTGGATCATCTTTTTATTCAATAGTTCAGATTGAGACACAAGAACAAGATATTATTTGCTCTATCCAAAAAAGTCTGTGTCTGTACTATTCAAGTATAAAAATGCCCACCTCCTCCCCTGAGAAAGACTGATCCTCTCCATCACTTACAAACGCTATAATCCCATATTCATTTTCAAAATGAATGTATATAAATAGCTTTCGAGCCGCTGGCCAGCCCTACATACATCTTTTCATAAAATGTATTTTGTGACTCATTTCTCATAAATATAGTTTCACTGTAGACAGCAGACAGTGAGTAAATCTACTCTTTTCCACGGCAAGGAGCTCAACTCTCATATTTTTACTGGCTCACTACTGACGAATTAAGCCCTAATTTCTAAAAAATATATAATGAGCTGAAAATGAACAGCTACTTCAGTATTGCTGCCAAAGACAGCCTTAAAAGGGAGCTAATACAATCCAATTTCAATCTCAAAAGATCTAATAAGACCATAAAAAAATAATGTATAACTTAGTATTAAGCACTATTCTTTTTTACAAAAGGGTATAAAGTTCTGTAAATGCAAAATCTAATAATGTCAAAGTGTCAGTTAAAAATAGAAACAACACCACAAAAACCTTAACCATCAGCTCCTCAATGAGAAGTTCTTTTGGGCACTTACCCAAGTCTTCCTAGCATCTCAAAGTCAGGAACTTGTGGTCCACATGTCTCTATTTGCAGTGGCTGATACTCATAGAGAGCTTCTTCAAGCTTTTGAATAGGTGCTAATGAAATATGTTGACCCTGTTAGAAAAATGAAGGAAAAATCTTTTAATATTACTTTTATTTACTACTTACTTGTAATCATTTTAAAGGTGAAATAAATTACTCAGATTAAAAATATTATCCATTATGTTTGCAATTCCATGCATATAATTCATTACATTACTGAAAGCCACATTATGTAATTAACATATAGTCACTGGCATGAATTAAAGGAAAAAAATTAAATCCATCATTAAATTCAAATTTATCCTTAAAGAGTATAGCTGTTCAATGTCAATGGTAGAATTCAGCAAATATATAAGCATAATCCAGCCTCATATTTTCCTATTTCTTATAATACAGCTTTGACAGTTTTGGTAATCAGTGTTTTGTTGACAGCGTTCACTAAGGAAGGACACTAATGAAATTATCCTCTACAAAGTCTGTCACATAAATATCCGTTCTCTTAAGTCTTTACAATGGAATCAAACTTCCTTATCAAATGTATGTAATGATGTCTACTTACACACACACACACACACACACACACAAAAATAAGAAAATTTTATGCTAAAAACTAGGTTAAATGAAGCATCCAGGTATTTTTCTAAAAATAAATAACTACTAGATCTACTAGATAACTAAAATAAAAGGACCATATTTGATCACAAGTATATAAAATAAAATGCCACTCAGCCATATAGTATCATTACATTGAGATTTACATAATTATCATACACCTCAGTATAGAATTCTATTTTGAAAAATCTCTATTTTTTAATGAAGTCTATGTTTCCAATTCTAACTTTAGTTCTGTAATTTTTCTTGCTATAGTTTTCATCAATTTCTCTATTTCCAAATTTTTAAATAAAAACCAGTTCTTATACTTAATTCCATTTATTCCTAGTTTATAATTTATTCCTATTGTTACCTCCTTAGTTTTCTTTACTTTTCCCCTAAATTACTAAGTTGAATATATACTATATTTGTTATCTTATTTTTAAGCAAAAACTATGACTTAAAAAGCAATAAAGTACAAACCTATATAATTTTATTAACTAATGTCACCCCAATAAATTTAATTTTTAAAAAGTGAAAAAGTATAATTGAGGCTGCGAGGAACAACCATGAAAGATGTTTGCATCTGACTTGTGGTTTGTCTCTTCAACAAGTTTAATCCCATGTAGCATCATCCTAGCTAGTTTACCAACATATCAATAGCTTCCCTGACTCTGTGACCTCAAAAGTTTTTCACCAAACACAGGCACAAGACTTAAACAGACATTTCTCTAATGATAAATAAATGGCCAACAAGCACATAAAAAGATGCTTAACATCTCAAGTCATTAGGGAAATGCAAATAAAAACAGTGATAAACCAATTAATACTCATGGCTATTTAGAATGGTATTAGCCAAAAACAAATAAACAAACAAACAAATAAAAAGATAACAAAAAATACACAATAAATAACAAATGTTGGCATATGTGCAGAAACAGGAACTCTTAAGCATTGCTAGTAGAAATGTAAAATGGTATAGCCACTATGAAAAACAGGGTGGCAATTGCTCAAAAAATTGCAGATTTACCATATGAGCCAAAAATTCTACTTCTGAGTATATAATCAAAAGTAGTAAAAGGAGGAACTTAAACAGATATTTGTACACTCATGTTCATAGCAGCATTATTCATAACAGCCAAAAGGTAGAAGCAACCCATGTGTCTATCAATGGATGAATGAATAAACAAAATGTGGTATTATACCTAATGGAATATTATTCAGCCTTTAAAAGGAAGAAAATTTTGACACATCCTAAAACATGGATGAACCCTGAAGACATTATGCTAAGTGAAATAAGCCAGTCACAAAAGAACAAATACTGTATGAGTCCAATTACATGAAGTTACTAGAGTAGTAAAACTCATAGAGACAGCAGCATAGTGCTTGCCAGAGTCTAGGGCAGCCAGGGGAAGAGGGGCTTTAGTATTCTAATGGGTATAGAGTTTTCGTTGGAAAAGATAAAAAATTCTAGAGATGGACAGTGGCAATGGAGGCACTTAACATACTTAATGCCAAGAAATGTATACTTATTAAAAAATAATTAAAATAGCAAAATTTATGTTATGTTTATCTTACCACAATTTTTAGAAATGTGTTTTGAATATTCTGATTTACTTGACTGGAATAATACAGAGAAAAGAGAATAAAAGTGAAATATTTGGAAAACTTTGTTAACATTATTTTAACCCTTAACCTTCATGTGTTTCACAACCTTTCTAAATAAACATGAAACTGTCAAGCTAAATCTTACACTACCTCACAGTAATCCAACTGCTGAGAAATGAATCTGAGTACAGACCATTACATAGGTTAAGAGGCCTGCCTAAATGAGATATTTTGAGCGGCATTCTAGGGATATTTTGAATGTCATTCTGACATCTCTGTTCCAAAGTGTCATCTTTATAAGCTGCCAAGTACTAAATTCTCCTGTCACAAGATGCAAAAAGTACAGTACTAGTGTCACATTTTCAGGTTACAAAAAATAAAGGAAAGAAAGAAGAAGAAAACAGTAAGAAGTGAAATAATAGATATTATTATAGTCCAACTAACACAGTACTGCAGATTATTTTGCATGATACCAAATGGGTATTTTCAAGAGCTGGAATACTTCCCAGGTAAGCTAATATTGAATGAATGAATGAATGAATAAGTGAATGAATGAATGAATGAAAAAACCATAGGCTCTCCTAAGTCATTATAGTGGGAAACAACATACTAAAAGTGATCATTTCCTAAATATCATTAATGATGCCCAAGTAACTGAAGTTATGCCCAAGTAACTAAAGTTATGCTGTCCAAAATCTCTGCAAGTTTGAATACATAAAAGATCATCTAATAATAATAATAGTTAACATTATTTACTCAGTGCCAGGCATTGGCCTAAGAGCTTCTTATGCATTACTTCATTATTATTCACAATAGCTTTATGAGATAAATACTGCTATCCTCACTTTATGGATGAGGAACAGGGGTTCCTTATTACTTGCCAAGGTCATGGTGGAGCAGGTTGAGAATTAGAAGGTAGGTTTGTCAAATTGTTTTATAGCTAAAGAAACTAAGACTCCCAAAATGTAAAATTTCCTAAGGTCACATAGAATTATATCTCCTAATTCCTATCCAAAGTGGCTTCTACCATACCACATTGCCTTTTAATATACTATTTGAGACAATATAATCATACTTAAAGAATATACCTAACACTGCCTTCAAGCTGCTCATTCTAAATAACAATTTCTTTTGGTAATTCAGTTATTTTCTATTTATTTTAGGAGCAAGCAGAGCAATTTTTATACTATGCTGTTCTGGTCACTCTAGGCAGATATCATCCTGTCATCACTATAACAGCTGCATAGTAATAACTTCCCGGTAGCACATAATTTCATGGTAAGTACAAATCATTCCCCCTCACAGAAATGGCTTTCTTTAATTTCTTTCAAAATTTACAGTAAGCAGCTTAAGACAAATAAGGGACAAGGACAAGAGCCTGTATGGTAAGTGGTAAACTATATACTTACACTGGCACTGCCTCTGAACTAAAATGAACTTAAGTGACACAGTTTCTCTAAGCTTCATTTTTATCACCTACAATAGGGGTTTGGGGGCAAATCGGGGGGTTCAATTATGTTTTTCCAAGTCTAATCTGCTATGATTTCATGACCACTAAGTGGAAACAAGCCACTACCTCAAAATGTGTCATAAAAAAATAAAAAGAATTTTCCCAAAATTTAATGTAAAATAATTTGATTCTATATATACTAGAGAAATAGTCAGTTGAAAAAACAAACAAGTACCAATTTCCAAATTCCCAGCTCTCTACTAGAATCATCAGACTACATTCCCTTTCTGAATGCATGTTTTAGAATTAGGAGAATACATAACTTTAAAAAAAAAAATTATTATGGTTGGCCCTTTTGCTGACTTATTCCCACATCAGCCTTGTAAGCATTCCTTGTCTTTTAAAATATAGTGCCTGATAGATTACCAATTATTTCCCAAAAATTTCCTTTTCAAAAAAAAAAAAAAAGGCTTTTCCAGAATTCATATTCCAACCTTGCAAGAGGTTTCATCCTGAATACACTAAGAACACCATATTTTTCTAGCTCTTTAGTGATGACCTGTTCCATTCAAATATATAAGATACTCTTTAAAACATCAAAGAAGAATTTCTATAACTAACCTGAGCTTATTTAACCTTGTTCAACACTGGAAGTAGCCTTAGAAGAGTTATATCTTCACTTGGCCAAGCCAAGTCTCTGAAACTTTCTATTAAATTGACTCTGTACTTCAAAAATAAAATGTAACACATTTAGAAACATAAAATGTTGGGGAAAAATTAGGAAATTGGATCTATATTTAAAAGATTACTACATTAAAGCATCTCAAACATAATTACAACCTCACCCTATATGTTTAAAAAAAGATTTCTATAAATTCCTTTGTATTGGTATAGAACTACTAAAGCTCATATGGAAAATAAATGCTACAATATATTTGTGGACACATGCAATTAGTTTTCAGAAAGCCACGGGTCTCAAACTATAGATGAACATGAAATAAAAAGGAACAGCATTTTCTACCTCTGCTTTAATCTATTTTGACTATAACTGCATTCATACAAATTTATCTCCCCAAAAATGCAAAAATAAAGACAGAAAAGGAACTAAACTAGTTATCAATATCTCCAATAGTTCTACATCTAAAACATCAGAAACCTAAATGTTATCTAGAAGGGTCCTAAGTGATGTGACTGACTTAAGTTCAAAATAGCTGTAACAGTAAAATCACATCTTGCATAGAGATTAGGTTCTAAAGTGAGAGTAAGGCAAAAACTGGTTAAAATAACCCCTCAAAAAATTCCTAAGATAGTCCATAAAGTATACTACACATTGTTCTGCGCTTATTGTAATATCTTTATATACATCCAACTCAGCTAGTTTGTCATCCAGCATCAGAATAAATTACTGTTTGTTCTGTTGGAA